GAAGAAAAAATCGTTCGAAGGCATAGATATAAGCATCTCACCAAAATAAACAGCTTATGTTAATTGGACTCAAAAAATACTTTTTAAATTATGTTTTGAAATTTTTCTTTTTTGTAATTGTTCATTAGAATGAAAAGAGTATATATTTCAAAATTTGAATAAAACAAAAAGCCATACAATGGTTTTTTAAAATTACTGCATCTTATTACTATACAACTGTTGCATGGATTCATTGCTGTGAAAGAAAATATTTGTTCATTTGCATATTATTTGCCCACCACATAATTGTAATTATGGAGGGGAGAGAGAGAGATTTGTCCGACGTCGAAATTTATGTTTGCTATAAATTTTAGCGTACGTAAAAGCCATGCGTGATGAGTTATGGACAAGGGTGGGGCTCTGAACCAGCATTAAAGAGAGTTTTAAAAATCATAAATTTGTGAGAGCGGTACTATGGGTGGGCTCTGCAAGTGTTTACAAATAATAAAAACAGTTCACATAAAAGGTTAAACAAAAATAACAAAATTAAAAATATATTAAAAAATAATTAAATTTGAACCCGATCGGTTTGGATCGGCCCTTTTGAAAAGGGACACAGCCGGATCTCAATATATTGTATGGGATCTACAGTGCTTTTTCAAACTATGGTCTTTATGGATTCCAATTTTCAATGTTTATGCAGCGGATCCCAATTAATTAAAAAAAACTCTAACGATGATTACAATTAAGTTACTTCCCTGCTTTTCATGACAAAACCCACCGAAAAGGTAACGGTTGTATCCAATTCAGGGCGGGAACCCAATGGTCCTACGGGTTAACCAAACCTCGGTCGGGTTCCCGCTTTGAGACGTGATAGGGATCCAAAAGTGTGGACCAGACCAATTTTCAAGTCATGTCTGGGTCTTCCAGGTCAACCCTGCATGACCTGACCTGGCTAAATATATTTACAATAAGAAACGTATACAGACCATTTATTTCTGGTATAAAGAGGCTACAATTTAGTAAAACTCATTCTACCACTCAAATCCAATGGGAAAACAAAAAAAAACTTGTGATTGCTTTTCCACCATTGACCTTGAAATTTGACCATAAAAAAATGGTGCAGATCTAACATATCTGTTATTTACAAAATGACAAATATTCAACGGACGTGGTTAACATGCGGCCAGCCCATGTATGGTAGAAATACGGGCTTGACAATAAATATATTTTTTAAATATAATTTAATCATAATTTTTAGAGAATATATAATGTTTAACATCGAGATCATGAACATAAATTTTGTTTTAAAAAGTTAGAAGTCATGATTATATTAAAAAAACATTTGGACCTTTAATTACAATTGTTTTTAGATGAACCACCTATTTGCATCCATCTTTAAGATGGATGCTTTATACTTCTGAACATCGTAGAAATGTAGTCCAGTCGCATGAAACAATTGTTCACATTCAACATATTAAGATTTTTTATTGTGTACAATTTGAATTCACAATTAATGTCACTAGAAAACTATTTCATGGTCAATAACACATTAATTTTGGCATAACAATTATGACCATATCTTACAACCCAATCTCGTCACACAACTCAGTGGCAATAACAACCCAACACCGAAATGGCATAAAAATATAGAAAGTTCTAGCCTTACTCTTAAGTTGCTTTTATTGAAGAAAAATTGTTTCATGCGAATTAGACCGCATATCTACATATGCGGTCCAGAAAGTGTATAGTGTAAAGCATTCATTTAAAAAAAAAGATGCAAATAAGTGTTCTCGAAACTAAGTGTCCAAATGTTTTATTACTGAAATTGTTATTTCTAAGTTTTAAATGTTATTTATGTCTCACATTCATGATC